CATGTACAGAGTACTGGACACAGAGTCATTGTGTGATGAGCTCCCTCCTGGCCTTGATGCCTTTACCTGTAAAATGGGTGTAACAGAAATATTTATTTATCTTTTAAAAAATACAGGTGTGCTGTAATATTAAAAAAATCAATCAAAGCGGGTTGCAACAAACATAAAACCATAAAAAGTTAAAAACTGATGTCAATTAATCATTGTGGAAGCATGTATTCTTAATTGTTTTCAAAGTCCTGGCAGAATAGAAGAGTTTTCAGCAGGTGTTTAAAAGTTGACACAGAAAGTACTCTCTTCTTCTTCTTCTTCTTCTTCTTCTTCTTCTTCTTCTTCTTCTTCTTCTTCTTCTTCTTCTTCTATCACTCGTAGCCAGGTAAGATGGTCTTCCGTAAGTGACTGTGGAGGCCAATTCTGGATCCATATGTCCTTCCACAGTGGGACATAGGTTTCCGGATGGGAGTTGATCACAGTGAGGGTTTGCCAAGCATGCCTTCCTCTTAGCACGTTTCTCCCTTTCGTCCTGAGTTCAAGCATCTTCAAAGCTCATGACACCTTTGGTAAAAGCTGTTCTCCAATTGGAGCACTCGCAGGCCGGTGTTTCCCAGGTGTTTTGCCTTGAGAGAGTCTTTAAACCTCTTGTTGACCACCAGCATTACGCTTTCCATTTTTAAGTTTGGAATAGAGTAGATGATATTCAGGCATCTGAACAACATGACCAGTCCAACAAAGTTGATGTTTCAGAATCATTGCTTCGACACTGGTGATCTTTGCTTCTTCCTGTACACTGGCATTAGTTCGCCTGTCTTCCCAGGTGATACAGAAGGTACTAAAGGATCCATGACAGATGGCCATCTAGCCTCTGCTTAAATATCTCCAATGAAGGAAAGTCCACCACCTCCCGAGGAAGCCTATTCCACTGTTGAACATTGTTGACTGTCAGAAAGCTCTTCATAGAAGATGGTGGACTCTTCTTCATTGGAGGTACTTAAGCAGAGGTTGGATTTTCCTCTGCCAAGCATTCTCTAGCTGCGATTCCTGCATTGCAGGGGTTTGGTCTAGAGGACTCTTGGATTCCCTTCTAACTCTACATTTCTACGATTCTACCCTGGCAGTGTGGGCCAGGATACAGTGAGTCAGATCTGTGTAGTTCCTTTGACCTCCCGGTTCCTCTCCTCTCCTCAAGGTAAAGCCCACCTATGCAGGGGGCAAGGAGGTCCCTGCCGTGCGGTGAGGAGGGGCTTCGAATTGAACACCCACAAGACCCGGCTCTGCCATTAAGGGAAGGTTGAAAAATGCACGGAGAGCGGAGCATTACAAAAATAATACAGCCATCTCGGAAACCAAAGGCAGGGATCAAAGGCCGGGCTCGGCTGCCCCGCGGAGGCTTCCTGCAGAGCTCCTGATAAGCCTTTGTAGTGGGCTTGTTTTAAACCGAGCTCCTGGAGGAAGGGAACGGCTCAGATGCTTGGCTGAGATTTCTTAGACTCCAAGATAAATTGGGAAGAAAGCGGAGGAGCAGGCGGGGGAGGCTGGTCGGGAGGTTCCAGCAGCGAGCAAGGCGAACATCAAAAGCGCCCAGCCCAGAATCGGAAGCTGGCGAGCATCAAACAGCAGGCTGGCTCTCAGGTTTGGGGACAGCGCTGTCACACAGGGGTCTGTTGGTCTGTGGGAGTGCTGCTTTCATGGGATGATCTTGAACTGCAGAGATGGTTGCACCTGAATCTCATTAATCCGATTTAGTGGCTTACGCAAAAGCAGTCGTTCTGGTCAACATTGCTGGCCCCCACTCAGGTGCGCCAACTCTAGGCGGTGGAGGTGTCTTCAGCCAACTCAATATTTGTTTGAAGGAGGCCCAGCCCCCTCCCCAACAGTATTGAGGGGGCCTGGAGCAGCCTAGCAGAAGGCTGCCCTGCACAGCATTGGGAGACGTGTGATGTCACGCGTGTGACATCACATGCTCACGATGTACACCGGCCCCCCTAATCTTGGGAGCAACCCAGCACCTCTGCCCCCCGCCCTTCATAAAAGCATAAGAACAGCCTTGCTGGATCAGACCTGTGGCCCACCTAGTCCGGCATCTTGTTCTCACTGTGTCTTCAGGGAGGGTTGCGGGTTCTGATCCCGGGCACCTTTCTAAACTTATGTTCCCATTCCAGTGGCTTGTAGAAAATGGTGGCAATAGGGTTTTGTTGGTGGGCCGTTTCAGGGGGGCTTTGCCAACTACTGCCTCTTAGGTTTCCTGGAGATGATTTCCAAATAACCCCCCGCTCCTGCAACATGCCACGCCCGGGGAGGTCTGCAGTTTTGCAGAGAGGCCAATCTACCATGCTGCTCAATTTATATATTTTTAGCTGTAACAAGATGAAGGGGCTGGACAAGGCACCAGAGGGGGACTGGCGGACTGACTCCTTCCCGGGCTGCAGATTAAACTCAGCCTTGGAAGATTGGAGGCGGGTGATGAATTCAAAGTGATTACAGTCACCTTTTAAGAAGAAAAACACACACGCCCCTGGATCAAATACTGCAGCTGGGGAGTGAAACGCGTCTCAGTCCTCACCGCTCTCGGGGATTTGGACATCAAAGGCTTTCATTTGCCTTGGCATTTTGACTCCTTGATGTCCGCGGCCTCCGCAGAGTCCGTGGGCGAGACTTTTCCAGGGGTAGAGGGTGCAGAAGGGTTGGGAGGGAGCTTTGGGGCTCTGGCGAGACGAGAGCGGATGGGCTGTAGGGGGTGCAGTGGAGTCGCGGGTTCCAATCCATTTGCTCATCATGGTGCTGATGGAGGAGACACCCATATTATTACTTGATTTTGGTTTAAAAATGAAAGTAAAACAGAAACACAATCCTACACTAACTGCAGTAAGACAATTCATATTCTAGATTCCTTACTCTTTATGGACCGGCATCAGGGATAACAGGGTTTTTAAATGGGATAGCAGGTGAACAGTGTTAACTTTTGATTCCGCTAATCAGAGGCATACTGCTTCCAGTAACGGAGGCGAGACATAGGAACCATGGCTAGTAGCCACAGATATATTCCTTATTATCCTCCAGGAATTTGCCCAATCCTCTTCTAAAGCCATCCAAGTCGGTGGCCATTGCTGCCTCTTGTGGGAGGGAGTTCCAAATGTTAACTGTGCAAATAAGTCCTTCTTTTCATCTCCCTGGAATCTGCCAACGTTCAGCTTTACCTATGAGTTCTGGAGAGAAAGAGGGGGACATTTCTCTATCCATTCTCTCGGTTCCAAGACGCAGGGATGTTGTTTTTTTAGCTGGAACTCATTCCCGGCATCTCTCAGGTGGGTGCTACTGCCATTAGAATAAAACAAGGGAGGTGTTCGTGGTGAGTTCTGGCACCTCTTTTTCTAGAAAAATAGCGCTGCCAAGACACTTGAATTCTGATGACCAGACATGCCATTCCCCAATAGCCTCCTAGTAAATAACTCTCCCTTCTCTCTCTCTCTCTCTCTCTCTCTCTCTCTCTCTCTCTCTCTCCATCCTTAAAATCTATCTTCTAAAGAGCCCCTATTTCTCATTAAGCTTGTGCCTTAAACCTCTTAATGCTCATCTCCACCCACACAGAGGTCTCTAAGTGAGGCCTCGTTCCCATTGAAGAGGCAACACTTCAGACGGCAGGTGGGGCCTCACACACTAAGATGCTCCTGCTTGCAATAAATGTGGTACCCAGGCTGCTTTTTTGTCCATTCGTGGGAGGTGGAAATTCAAAAGCCTGTGAAGATGGCTGGGAAAATTTCAGTGAACTCTTTTGGAGGGAGAAGGGAGGGTTCAGCTTACGTTACATAAAAGAGGCGCAGAGAGTCTGTCTTGTCTGTCTCTCTCTCTCTGACTCCCCCCCTCCCTTTCAGATCTTCAGCACCTCATTTAAGTAAGGGAAGCCAAACTCAAGGTAATTTGTAAGAAGTCGATCTATTAGTGTGGCAGCTCCTGCACTTTGGAACTCCCTGCCTATTGACATTGGGCAGGCGTTTGTGGTTAGGCAAGGCTACGCTGACACATAGAACTTGGAGGTGCCCTTTAATTTGCTGTTTAGCTTATCGTTGATTTTATTTTCGTGTGAATGTTTTAAATAGCTTTCAAACTGGTATTTACCAATAATTCTTATTCTTTTTGTAAATCGCTTGGAGACTTCTTTCTTACGATCCCGTAGTATATAAAATTTGCGAAATAAATAAATGTTTTACATCCATCAATTTAATGCAGTTTTTTTTGTTTGTTTCTTTGGTAAAACGCTTAGAGGTTTTATTATGATCAAGCAGTATATAAATGTTGTCAAACAAAGAAGTAAAACTCTTTAAGGACTTAGATGCAAGGGATAAAAACGGCCACCTTGGAATCTTCCAATCTGTGTAAAGAAACCACCTCAATTTCCACCTCCATTTATTTACTTATTTTATTACTATTTTTATCCTACCCTTCCTCCAAGGAGCTCATGGTGGCCTACATAGTTCTCCTTCGTCCTCACAAGAACCCTGCAAAGTATCAAAGAATCATAGAGTTGGAAGGGAACCTGAGGATTACAGTATCTAGTCCACCCCCCTGCAACGCAGCTGTCTCCTAAAGGGAGCGAACCTGCAGCCCTGGTGCTATCAGCACTGTGCTTTAACCTACTGAGCTATAATTAGTATGTTAGGCTGAGATGGAGTCCTTGGTTCAAGGTCACCCAGTGAGCTTCTTGACTGGGTGGGGATTCGAACCCGGGTCTCCCAGGTCCCAACACTCTGTAACCACCACACTGATGACATCCACCTTCTTACATAGAGGTTTCCTAACATGCTCAGAGGTGTTATTACAGTCAAGTGGTATTTAAGTGTCGTCAAATAAGTAAGTTAAATATTTCCGGAGATCTGGATGTGGAAATGACCAGCTTGGAGTCTTCCAATCTGTGTAAAGAAACCATTTCTGTGTTCTTCCACTGCTGGCACCCACTTTTCTCTCTCTCTTCCTCTCTCTCTCTCTCTCTCTCCCTCTCTCTGCAGGGCTGAGGATTCCCCTTATGAGGTCATGCAGCTGGACTTCGAAATGGAGAACTTCACCAGCCAATCGGTGACCCGCCGCATCATGTGGCATATAGACTACCGAGGCCGAAACCCTCCGCCCGACTTAGAGAAGGCTGTGACGGAGCTGGCGGTCATCCAGAGGGACATTCGTGCCATCCTGCCACTGGCCATGGTGAGGGTCCCAGTAGTCAGGCTGGAAGTTGGTTTGTGTCTGTGCGCCGAGTGCTATTTTTCTAGAAAAAGAGTTGCTGGAACTCACCATGAATGCCTCCCATGTTCTCTAAGAATGGCAATGGTGCCCACCTGAGAGGTGCCGGAACTGAGTTCCAGTGAGTTCTGGCTGAGAAAAAGCCTTGTGCGCTACCCCTTCTGTTTCCTGACCTGCCCATATCCCAAAACTGGCCCACCGGACCCATTGCATGATCTCATTCCCCTGACTCAAGTAAAGAAGCCTGTGTTTCCCACGCTTCTGGGGCCTGGAGTGTAGTTCTATCACAGACGCAGGTGGCGCTGTGGTCTAAACCACTGAGCCTCTGGGGCTTGCTGATCAAAAGGTCGGTGGTTCAAATCCCCGCAAAGGAGTGAGTTCCTGTTGCTCTGTCCCAGCTCCTGCCAACTTAGCAGTTTGAAAGCAGACCAGTGCAAATAGATAAATAGATATCACTGTGGTGGGAAGGTAAACAGCATTTCCGTGCACTCTGGTTTCCGTCACAGTGTTCCGTTGCACCAGAAGCAGTTTAGTCATGCTGGCCGCATGACCCGGAAAGCTGTCTGTGGACAATCGCCGGTTCGCTTGGCCTGAAAGCGAGATGAGCGCCGCAACCCCATAGTTGCCCTTGACTGGACAAAAAGTCCAGGGGTCTTTTACCTTTTTACCTTTTTCTATCCCTCACCAAAACTGGAGCCAGCAGCACAAGGGACTTTTGCAGGCCAGTTGGCCAGTCCAGGTGTCAAAACTGGCCCACAGGAGGCAGAGGGTGAGGAAGGTCAGAAAGGCCCCGCCCTCCCTGCAGTTTAGGATCTGGGCGCTCTAACTACCACAGCCTCCTTTGTCCCCTCAAGGACACGGAGATCATCAATACGGCCATCCTAACAGGTCGGACGGTGGCCATCCCAGTCAAGGTCATTGCCATTGAGATGACGGGCGTCATTGTGGACATCTCGACAGACGCAGAATGCAAGTCCACCAATGAGGACATCATCAAGGTGGGTGGGGGAAAAAATCAAGGTGGGTGATGGGGAACCAGGCTGTGTGGGTATATAAGAGGCACAACTGCATTTGTAAGATCAGTCCCAACATGGCTAACCAGAGGTATCTGCATTTTGTTACATTTTTTTGTATTATTTTAATTACTTTTTAACTGTGTGTGTGTGTGTGTGTGTGTGTGTATTTATCTGTTTTACAATTTAAAATATTCATTTAAACAATCTTAAAATATCAATGACTTCCCTTCTTCCCTTTTCATGGTTCATTTTGCATAACACAAATCCCTGCATATTTTATATAAACTAAACCATTCAGTATTCCATTATGACATCCATCAATACTTATTTACACAGGTGAATTTATCTTAATGCTCCCAACGTTTTCAAGTGTACACACTTTCCCCCTGTATATTCAACAAACATTTTTCAATCTTCTTTAAACATATGTTCTTGTTCTCTTATTCTATAAGTCAGGTCCGCTTCTGGCTAGCTTTTGGTATTTTATCTGTGTTGTTTTGATTTCTGTAAGCCACTTTGAGCCCCAGTCTGGGAAAATGACAGTAATAATAATAATTATTATTATTATTATTATTATTATTATTATTATTATTATTATTATTTTGTTCTAACCCCAAAGTCCCAATTCCTTGTATGAAAGGTGTTCTGACCTTTCTGTAGCTTCTCTACCCCATGATACACCCTCCCACCACTTTCACTGGGAGAGCCAGTGTGGTGTGGGAGAGCCAGTGTGATGTGGGAGAGCCAGTGTGGTGTAGTGCTTAAGAGCGGTAGTCTCGTAATCTGGGGAACCGGGTTCGTGTCTCCGCTCCTCCACATGCAGCTGCTGGGTGACCTTGGGCCAGTCACACTTCTTTGAAGTCTCTCAGCCTCACTCACCTCACAGAGTGTTTGTTGTGGGGGAAGAAGGGAAAGGAGATTGTTAGCCGCTTTGAGACTCCTTCGGGTAGTGATAAAAGCGGGATATCAAATCCAAAACTCTTCTTCTTCTCTTCTTCACATAATCCCTGCTCCAGAGGCGGCAGCAGCCAGCCCACTCCCTGCCAAATTCCTCACAGTGCATATGGAACTCCCTCCCACTGGAGGCAATGATGGCCACCAACTTGGATGGCTTTAAAAGAGGATTGGAGGAGAAGGTTCTCAATGGCTACTAGCCATGAGGGCTGTTTTCTGTTTCTATTCAGAGGCAGTGATGCTTCTGAATACCAGTTGCTGGAAGCTACAGAAGGGTGGAGGGCTCTTGCGCTCGAATCCTGCTTGTGTGTTTCCCAGAGGCATCTGGCTGGCCAACGTGAGAACAGGATGCTGGACTAGACAGAGCCACTGGCCTGATCCGGCAGGCTCTTCTTCTATTCTTACACCCCTCGCCCACTGCCTGGACTGAAAACAATCAAGTTTGATTTACCATTGCCAGGTTTTAATGGTTCCCTTTCAGCCTGAGCGAGCACGCTAGCAATCCTGCATTTCTGGACAGGCTCCGAGACACTCTGATGGGGCTAATGTGCTCCTTCCCCGCTCGTAAATCTCTCCGGTTGCCGGCCCTCGAATCCGGGGACGGGACCGAGCCTGCGAGCCGGGTTGAATAATTGATCAAGTCACTGCCCCTTTGCCTCCTCTTCTGACTTACCTTCCTCTATTCCTTCTCTGCCCCCCCCCCAAACTACTGAGTTATGTTGACATTGCTCCGAACGAGGTATGCCTGGCAGGAACTCTTGCGTACCTGGAGAGACTGGAGGGAGGGCGATTGCTCTGTCAGGACTATAAACCTGCACCATCCATCAGGCAACCCGTTATCTGTTACTGTAAATAATTCAGCATTAAGGAGAGCCGTGGCGTCGTCGGTGGCTCCACTCCCCGGGTGTGTATTGCAAAGAGGGGGCATAAACAACAGGAGTAGCTCTATCGATCTCCGGGCTTGAGGAGCGAGGAGGAACAAGCCTCCGGTTATCTGTGCAGCGAGAGGCTGACGGATGTTGCGGCCCCGTCTGGCTCAGAGCGACGCGGATCCCTTGCGCTCAGGAGAACACGAGAACTCATGGGCATCCAGTGAACAGGAGCTAGCCAACCATGAATCATGTAGTACAAGTCGCAGTTAACTCCTTATTAGCGAAAATATGATCAGCAGCAGGAATGCCAGGCCTAATAAGCACAGCAACTTGTCTCTGGTAGATGTTGCCCGCATGAAGCAGTTGCCGAGACTGAAGCAATCCCCAAGCAATCAGAGACTGTGTCTACACATCGCCAGTCTCTGCCCTCTTCATGCCTCTTCTTGTTCTGGGAGATCAGAGAGGAGGGGAGCTGGTTGTAGCAGGAAGGGGAGACATCCGTGCCTCTTCACCAGCCAGATCTCTCTGCCTCTTGGCCTCCCTCCTCTCCTGCTTCAGCTTCTGCCTCTGATTCTGGACTTCTCTCTGCCACGGACTCTCCCAGCTCACTAAGCCCTGTTGCTCCTTCAGCTTCTGACACCTCCTCCCCACAGTCTTCTCCCTCTGACCGCTCATCGTCATCCTACCAACATTCCCTGAGCTCCGAGACTTCTTCCCCTGGGGTTCCCCAGCTGGTTCCTCCCACCATTCCTCTGCGTCCAACCAGTCCATGACACAGAGCCACGGAGCTCCCACAGAGTGGTGTTAGGCTGTCTTATCTTGAGATGTAACTATTTGATCCACCTAGGGATGGCTCAAATGTGGACCACCAGCAGCCCAGCCCAGCCCAGCCGGCTTCCTCCCTGATCCTGCGATCTGGCAATGTTGTTGTTGTTTAGTGATTTGGTCGTGTCTGACTCTTTGTGACTCCATGGACCAGAGCACGTCAGGCACTTCTGTCTTCCACAGCCTCCCGCAGTTTGGTCAAACTCATGCTGGTAGCTTCAAGAACACTGTCCAGCCATCTCGTCCTCTGTCGTCCCCTTCTCCTTGTGCCCTCCATCTTTCCCAACATCAGGGTCTTTTCCAGGGAGTCTTCTCTTCTCATCAGGTGGCCAAAGTATTGGAGCCTCAGCTTCACGATCAGTGAGCACTCGGGGCTGATTTCCTTAAGAATGGATAAGTTTGATCTTCTTGCAGTCCATGGGACTCTCAAGAGTCTCCTCCAGCACCATAATTCAAAAGCATCAATTCTTCGGCGATCAGCCTTCTTTATGGTCCAGCTCTCACTTCCATACATCACTACTGGGAAAATCATGGCTTTAACTATACGGACCTTTGTTGGTAAGGTGATGTCTCTGCTTTTTAAGATGCTGATCTGGCAATGCCAGGGATCAAACCTGGAACCTGAGAGCCTGCTGGATCAGGCCAGTGGCCCAGCTAGTCCAGCATCCTGTACTCACAGTGGCCAACCAGATGCCTCTGCTGGGAAGCCTACAAGCAGGATTCGAGCACAAGAGCCCTCTCCCCTCTTGCGTCTTTTAGCAACTGGTTTTCAGAAGCATTGCTGCCTCCAACTACAGTCATCACCGCAAACAGTAATCGATTGCCTTCCCCTCCATGTACTTGTTCAGTCCTCTTTTAAAGCCATCCAAATTGCTGGCCATAGCTTGCCTCCTGTGGGAGGGAGTTCCGCAGTTGAACTATGCGCTGCACGAAGAAAACGGATAAACTATGCCGAGATGGCGAAACTCACAGGAAGAATTAGAAACCAGGAAGAGACTGACTTTAATAAAGAATGGGGAAAGTTTATAATTTATTTTTAAAGATTACTGTAAACAATTACACACATTGGTAGGATGGATGGAAATCTATGGAGTGATAAAGGATTTATAAAAGTAGAGCTACGGAAGAGATGCAGAGGGGGAAATCATTATATGAAGAGCCACGGTGGGAGGAGAGGGAAGTCAAAGGGGATTATATGTTTATGTTGTTGTTGTTGTTTTCTGTTTGTAAAAATGCAAAAATTAGATTTAAAAAGAAGACGAAGGGTTTTCTTTTCTCTCTCCCGAACCTGATTTCCTTCCCCATCCAGGGATGGATGTTAACCCAAAGTGTAGCTAGCGTATAGCACGAGGCATTGGGGAGTTTTTCTCCAGCAGCGTTTCAAGACAGATGCTATTATTTGTCGTCCCTGGAAGGGCTGGGAGCGAGCCTGCTCCGGACTGTGTGGCTGGGTGTGTTTATTAGCGCAGAGGAGGCGAGCGCTGTGGCGTCGTCTTTATTTTGATGAACGACACAATATCCAGAGATGCATTTCAGGGCTCATTTTTATTCCGATGCCGAGCTGAGATTGCCTTTGCAGACATGCTGAGCTGGTGTCTCTTGGATGTTGAAGGCAAGCTTAAGTAGCCCCGGGGGAATAAGAAGAAATAGACCCCAGCTAATGTCTAACACACACACACCACGTATCCCTGATGCCAGAACAACCAGACAGCTTCATAGATGAGAGGAAAGGTTTTCCCAAATAGTGGTCCACAAACCACCAGTAGTTTGTGAGAGGCAGTTTGTGACCTCTAGCATGGGAATTCAGCTTTGTCATGGCCAAAGCATCCTGGGTCCCACCTCTTCCTCTTCCTTGGTACCCTAACTCACCAGTTTTGTCTGCAGGTTTCCAGCAGCTGTGACTATGTCTTTGTGAGTGGCAAAGAATCAAGGGGCTCCATGAATGCTGGGGTGTCCTTCAGCTACGAGCATCTCACCGCCCTCCTGGAGATGACCGTCTGGGTCCCCAAACTCCCGCTGCACATCGAGCTCTCTGACTCCCGGCTCAGCCAGGTGAAAGGGTGGCGAGTTCCAATCTTACCCGATAGGAGGTAAGCCAGGAGTTGGGAAAGGAGTGGGGTGGTTGGAAATCCTCTCGGGGATTGTGTTTGAGAGCCTCTAGGCATGCACAGCAAAGACTAGTGGCCATTCTGGATCCCATTGCCCAGAAGCTTCAGCTCATGCCAGAATTCTCCCCTAGGTGCTCACCTCCTTAGAACACGGAAGGAAATGCAACTCTCTTTTTTGAGAAACCTATCTGCTACAAAAAGCATCATCCTTTTTCAGACATTAACTAATTTTAATAGCATGTTTTTTAACTGTTGTAGCCTACCATAGGCCCTCATGGTGAAGAAGAAATAATAATAATAATAATAATAATAATAATAATAAAAAATGGGGTGGAAATATCCACCCATTTAGAATGAGGGAAGGCAGCACAGCCATCGCTCTGATTTGACTTTGCGATGTTATGTAACGTGAAATCCGATTGGCTACGTGGTGTCATTACGCCCAATGCACGATCCCTGATTGGCTGGATTAGTGGCTGGATTAACTCTCCTTTTTAGGAAAAGGGGGGGAAGTGCCAGAGCAGCTGCTGGCTGACCCAACTGCTTTGGCTCCCACAGGTCTGTCCGGGAGAGCGAGGATGATGAAGAAGAGGAAGAGCGGCGGCAGAGCCGGGGCTGCACCCTCCAGTACCAGCATGCCACCCTGCAGGTCTTCACCCAGTTCCACACCACCTCCTCGGAGGGCACGGACCAGGTGGTCACCATGCTGGGCCCGGAGTGGATGGTTGAGGTCACAGACCTGGTCAGCGACTTTATGAAGGTCGACGACCCTCGGGTTGCTCACATGGTGGACACCAACACCCTCGCCGGCCGGGAGCCTGGCACCACCCTCTTCAAGGTAAGAGCGTAACAGGTACCCAGCAAGGAAAGGACCCTAGCTCTGTTCTAGATCACATGCTTTTCATGCAGAAGGTTCCAGGTTCAATCCCTAGTGCCATCTCCAGGTAAGGCATTAGAGAGACTCTTTGCCTGAAAACCTGGAGAGCTGCTGCCAGTCAGTGTAGACTGTACAGAGCTAGATGGACCAGTGGCTCCTATTTAAATAAGCCCTTGATTGGGAAGCACGAGGACTGGAATCTGAGCTTAGTGGCGGAGCCTCTGCTTTGCAGGCAGAATGTCTTAAAGTTCCATTTCTAGAATCTCCTGGAAAGCCAATTCCATTCCATATAGACAATACTGAGATGGACGAGCCAATCGTCAGTATAATGAATCTTCCTATGTTCCTCTTAAAATTAGCCCTTTATTTGGAATAGTGAGGACTAGAATCTTGGCTTGCTTTTAAGTAAAAATTCAGTGATGGAGAAAAGGTCCCACGCTTAATCCCTAATGGCAGCTACAGGTAAGGTTGGGGGAAAGACCTGGAGAGCTTCCACCAGTTAGATAGATAGACACAATTGCCTTGTTCTATATAAGGCAACATCCTATATTAAGGAGCAGGGGTTATCTGCCTCTGTTAGGGGAGGCAAAGGAGGTGCAGCTGTAAACATCAGTTTCCCCAACAATCTGAGCACCTTTAGATTTGCAGCTCCCCTCCCCTCCTCTGGCACTAGGTACTCCTCATATCGGAGGCCCCTTTCCCACATGTTCATAGAATTGTAGAGTTGAAGCGCACCCCCAAAGGTCATCCAGCCTCACGTAAAGGAGAGTCAAGCACCTTCCACGGGAATCCATTCCATGGCCAAACGGCTCTGGCTGTCCATAAGTTCCTCCTAAAGTTTCGTCAGAATCCCCTTTCTTGCCATTGAAAGTCATCATTTTGGGTCCTCCGCTCTGAAGCAGCAGAAAGCAAGCTCCCTCCGTCTTCCATGTGACAGCTCTTCAGATTTTTGAAGGTGGCTGTTATCTCACCTCTCAGTCTCCTCCAGGCTAAGTATACCCAACTCCCTCAACAGAGGCCCTCTCTTCATTCTCGCTTCACGCATCCCAGGGCTAAGAAAACAGATCTGTTTTCCTTGGTGGGAAGGGGGAAGGGGGGCTCATCTGCATTTTCCTGCCTCTACATTCCCCTTCCTCCTTGGCTGCACACCCCTACACCCCTTCTTCCTTCCCCTCTCTCTCCCTCTCTCGCATTTTCTCCCTGAACCAGCTCCTCTTGAGCCTGTGCCAAGCATCTCTTAACTACAATTAGTTCCAAGCCTGGGCACTGTATTGCCTTCCTAAGCAGAAATTCCCAGGCTCCCAGATGCTGCCTTCAAAGATTCGAGCAGTTCAAGGTCGGAGTGTCTTCCCCCGGTGAAATGTACTTCGGAGAATTGTGTGTGTGTGTGTGTGTGTTTGCAGGGCGAGTGCATGAAGGGAAGGCCATGGAGTGGTGCTGTTCTCCGGCTTGGCTCACTAGCATCGCAGGCCTGGGATGGAAAGAGAGATGCAATGCTTAGCTAGAGACCTCAGCAGGCAATTTCTCCATCAAGAATCACAGAATTGGAAGGGTCCACGAGGATCATCTTTCGCCCAGCGTGGGACTTGAACCCACAACCCTAAGATTAAGAGTCTTGTGCTCTACCGATTGAGCTATTCTCTAGCTTTTTAAAAGGATCTCCCAGCTTGGGGTGTGGGATGACACTTTTCCATTCCAGGGCATTCATCCCTTTAATATATATCGTCGTTTTTTTACACACGGCACACAGGGCTCAGCCAGACATCCTTTTTGAGCTTCGTTTCTAGGTGCCGGTCAAGGGCAGCCCCGCAGAGAGCGCACTATAGCAATCCACAAGGGTGATGCGCAGTGTTAGAAACTCAGATATATAAGCTAGGCGCCAAATGGCTCATTAAATGAGGGTTACAGTCGCCAAAGCAGAAGGCTTGGTTGCCTTTTGGGGGCAAGACGACTTTTGGGCTTCTGAAATTGGTTCTGATTGTGCAGATAAAATATACTTGATAGAATTCTGCAGGATGTGTTGCTAGTGTGCTCAGGGAAGTTTTTAATGTTTGATGTTTTATTGTGTTTTTAATATCTGTTGGAAGAAGCCCAGAGTGGCTGGGGAGGCCCAGCCAGATCGGCGAGGTATAAATAATAAATTGTTGTTGTTGTTGTTAACAGTACAGATCCACAGATCCCCAGGCATGCACCTCTAGGTGGTGGAGAGGTCGGGCCCCATCCTGGCACCCGAGCATCTTCACTAGGCCGCATGTTGGCCAATAGCCAAGTGAATTTTCAGCGCTGGTGGCGATGAGGAATGTGACTGGGCGTTCCTCCTAATCCCAACCAGGGGAGATGTTTCTTACGGCCCACTTCTCTTCCCGTAGGTGGTCTCTCCGCTCATGGAGGCGGTCCTTGGGGAGACCTTGGTGACGGTGGCGGACGAGAAGGTCAGCATCACCGAACTGAAGGCCCAGGTCATCTCAAACCTCTCCCTCTCCCTCCACCCCAGCCCTGGGAACAGCCACACCATCGTGGCCAAGACGACAGCCCAGCAGACTCTGAACTTCTCCAAGCAGGTACTTCTTCTGGGGCAGCCCTCGTGGATTGGGGGGCGGGGGTGGGGGCAGATTTAATTAATTAATTGTCTCATTCTTTCATTTAGAACCCACTTTTTCTCCAAGGAACTCTAGGGGCCGCCCACACTTTCCCCCCTCCCTGTTTTATCCTCACAACAACCCTGTGAGGTAGGTTTGGCGGAGCAGTAGTGACAGGCCCCAGGTCACCCGGTGGGTGGCCCTAGCCCAACACTGTAACCCAGGGGTCAGCAAACTTTTTCAGCAGGGGCCGGTCCACTGCCCCTCAGACCATGTGGTGGGCTGGACTATATTTTGAAAAAAATAATAAAAATGAACGAATTCCTGTTCCCCACAAATAACCCAGAGATGCATTTTAAATAAAAGGACACATTCTACTCATGTAAAAACACGCTGATTCCCGGACCGTCCATGGGCCGGAATTAGAAGGCGATTGGGCCAGATCCGGCCCCATCCTTAGTTTGCCTACCCATGCTCTAACCGCCACACCACACTGCCTCTTGCTTGCCTTCTCTCACTCTAATCATTTCATTAAGTTTACATGTCGTTGCTGCTGCCCAATGTTTTTGCTAACCGTTCCTGCGCTATGGGTCTCTATTTCCCCTCCCCCCCCATTTGTTAAGAACGAGTGTCTGATCAGCTGCTATCAAATTCCATATTAAGTTTGTATGTTTTCCTCGAGGGTCTAAATCCCATCCGAGAGAATTATCAGAGCATCCAATGGCAACTCGTATGATGTCCGTGGCGATACAATCTCTACTGTCTTGCCCTAAAAGATGATTAGATAGATAGATAGATATAGATATAGATATAGATATAGATATAGATATAGATATAGATATAGATATAGATATAGATATAGATATAGATATAGATATAGATAGATGATAGATAGGTAAAAGGTAAAGGTAAAGGTACCCCTGCCCGTACGGGCCAGTCTTGACAGACTCTAGGGTTGTGCGCCCATCTCACTTAAGAGGCCGGGGGCCAGCGCTGTCCGGAGACACTTCCGGGTCACGTGGCCAGCGTGACAAAGCTGCATCTGGCGAGCCAGCGCAGCACATGGAACGCCGTTTACCTTTCCGCTAGTAAGCGGTCCCTATTTATCTACTTGCACCCGGGGGTGCTTTCGAACTGCTAGGTTGGCAGGCGCTGGGACCGAACAACGGGAGCGCACCCCGCTGCGGGGATTCGAACCGCCGACCTTTCGATCGGCAAGCCCTAGGCGCTGAGGCTTTTACCTACAGCGCCACCCGCGTCCCGATAGATAGGTAGGTAGGTAGATAGATAGATAGATAGATAGATAGATAGATAGATTAGTTTTTATTCACTGTATTCATTTTCATCTTCAAACTGATTAGCATGCCTGCACAGAGATATATCTCTGTTTACATTAGAGCATATGGCACGCAACAATTACATAAAATTAAAAATAACCCAACAATAAACACTCAGATAACCGTTCTCTGAATATATTAGCAAAGTTGTGTCGGAAGTGCACATACCCAAATTATTGCAATTATTACGGATATTAAAATGAGGTATAGCAACATGTAGATTGGTGAACATACATAACCCAGAAGATTTCAGTCATTGGACCAATCTACCGAATGTGTCCAAAACTTCCCATTGCAGAGAGGATAAATTTTACTTTGTGGAGTCATAGACCATTAGGGGAGCAGCTTGTAATGTTTTTCTGTAACGTTAACACAAAGAGGTTCTGCCAGATGAGAAATTAGAACTCCTATTATTTCCTTTTAAAGCTTGTACACAGATGCGATTTCAAAGTATTAAGGCAAAAAAAGATATATTTTGAATAGAACAACTGCTCAAGTTTCCCTTCTTATAAATTATTACCTCAGGACTTGACATTTTACCTCAAAACTCACACCATCTTATTCATCCGTTGTATTTTATTCTACATAACGTATCCATTGTCTGCACTGAAAGCATCGCGGAACTAGGTCCATTTGAGGCCTTCCCACCATCGTTTTGAAATTGCCATTATTTACAGTTCCTTGATATGTAATTACATTGTGATTTACCCAGTTAGCCGCTTGGCCTCCTGCTACCTTATTTATTTATTTGTTTTATATATTAAAAAATGTTTATAGACTGCTATTTCATTTTTTAAAAATTCAAAGCGGTTTGCAACAAAAATACATAAAAACATGTTTTTAAAAGGTTTTAAACAGACGTCAATTAAGCACTGAGGAAAGCTGTGTGCTCAGTTGCCTGCATAGGCCTGACAGAACAGAAAAGCTTTCACCAGAAGGTCTCTTTGTTTAAAAGAAAAGAAAAGATGTGAGCAAGGATATATTTAGGTGTTGACATTGTATTTAAGCTATTCCAAACATCTCAGGCTGCATCTGTACAAGGATTTTGTATCTGAATAAAAATCGGTTGTCACAGGATCCTAGAACCGTAGAGTTTGAAGGGACACCCAGGCGTCATTCAGTCCAACCCCCTGCAATGCAGGAATCTCAGCTGAAGCATCCATGACAGATGGTCTACCCAGCCTCTGCTTCAAAACCTCCATTGAAGAGTCCTTTCCCCTCTCTGTAGTAACCATGGAATAACTGTGAGCTCTTCTTTCACTTACACCATGGAATTACCTTTGAGACATTCAGCCATTGGGCTATTACTTTTAGATGTGTAGCTTTATATTAATCTACTATATCGAGACATTTTATTCCTCCTTTGTTGTAGCTTGTCTCCAAGGTTGCCATGGGAACGCTAGCTCTTTTTCTTTTTTGCCACACAAAGTTTGTAAGTAGTTTTTGCTGGTTCAATCATACCCTTTTGTCACTCTTGGCCATTACGTTTTCAAATAGATAAAGTAGCCTAGGAATTTCTAATGCCGCAACGTTACATAACCATGCGAGTCCTGCCTGAGTCCATTTTAAAAACTCTTTTCAAACTTCATAACTTTCATTTAATTTAAACTATATGGTTGAAGACAACCCAGTTCCTAGATACGTTATCAGCATAACTGCCCAATTAATTGCTCTCCCTTTCATCAAATTTGCTTTAATTGATTGCAACACATTTATTTCAGGTTTGGATGAGCTCATTTTTGTAGCCAAACGACGTCACCAAACCTCCCTGTTATTTCAAGGAATTTCTGGTGCAGATTTTAAGGGATGAGTTAAGGAAAGCATTACATCATCAATTTACAAACCGATTTTGGAACTCGTAGACTGAACCTTCATCGCCGTTGCATCTTCTGTTGATCTTATTAGGACCGCTGACGATTCAATACATATTAGAAAAAGGAAAGGGCAACAACTGCAGAGGGCAACAATTCGTGCCTGGCTCTTCTGTTTACATAAACTGTCCCGCAGAGGGCACCTAAAATGATTCAGGGGATGGAATAATAGAATTATAAAATCGTAGAGTTGGGAGGGACTCCCGAGGGTCATCTAGTCCAACCTTTTGCAATGCAGGACTGTCAACTAAAGCATCTATGAAAGATGGTCATCTTCATGGAAGGAGAGTCCACAACTTCTCAAGGGAGCCCGTTCCACTGTCAGACAGCTCTTACTGTAAGGAAGTTTTTCCTGATGAAGCGGCTCCCTTATGAGGGAAGATTGATACATTTGGGCTTTACTAGTTTAGAGAAAAGGCAAGGAAGAGGGAGCATGGCAGAACTTTATACAGTTAGGCATTGCACGGAGAAAGAAGATAGTGAGAAGTTTTCCTCTCTCACTAAAACTTGTGGACATCCAACAGAGTTGAATGTTGGCAGATTCAGGACAGATAAGCGAAAGATAAACGTGGAACTGTGGAACTCACTCCCACAGGAGGCGGTGAAGGCCGCCAGCCCTGATGGGTTTAAAAAAGGATTGGACAAATTCATGGAGGACTATTGATGGCTGCCAGCCATGACAGCTGTGCTCTGCCTCCACAGTTGGAGGCAGCAATGCTTCTGAATGCCACAGGAGGGGAGAGGGCTCTTGTGATCGGGTCTTCCTTGCAGAGACATCAGGTTGGCGACTGTGAGAACGGCATTCTGGATTGGGTAGGCCATTGCCCTGATCCAGTAGGCTCTTCTTATGTAAGAGAATGTTGATCTGGGCCAGTGAAAGGGCGTGGCCTCAGAAGGGGGCAAGGCTTCAAAAGAGGGTGGCCTGGCCAAGAGACATTGCTTGGGGGGAGTTTGAAGGGCCAGACAGAGAAACCCATGGGGGCCACATTCAGTCCACAGTCTCGAGGTTTCCTGCTCCTGATGTGAAAAGCGACGGGGGGGGGGGGGTTTCCACACAGTTTGTTCCCCACCTTTCATTTCTCCTTCTTCCGCAGGAGGCCTTGCTGAGCCTCTGGGTGTCGTACAGCGATGGCACGACCGCCCCACTCTCCTTGTACGACCCCAAGGACTACACGCTGGTGGTGACCAGCCAGGACCGGGCGGTGGTGTCGGTGATGCCTGAGAGAGCCTTTCCGCTGGTGATGGCCGAAGGCGAGGGGGCCGGCGAACTGGTCAGGGCCGAGCTCATGATCTGCGAGAGCTGTCAGAAGACCAAGAGGAAGAGCGTGCTGGCCACCGCCCTGGCTAGCGTCCGAGTGCATTTCAACTCCGAGGAGGAGCCCACCTACGACTACGAGCCTGTCCAAACGCCCAGCAGGCCCGGGCGGGAGAAGGGGAGCCCAGGCACCACGCCCCGGGTGGAAGGCGACTGGCACTTGCCGCCCAGCCCGGAGAGCCGGCCGCCCAGCGCCGCCCTCCCGACCGAGGACTTCCCCACCATCCCCACAGGTTATGTGCAGGTGACGCGGGGCCTGACGGACCTCGAGATCGGCATGTACGCCCTGCTGGGCGTCTTCTGCCTCGCCATCCTCGTCTTCCTCATCAACTGCATCGTCTTCGTCCTCAAGTACCGCCACAAGCGGATCCCGCCGGAAGGGCAGACCAACATGGACCACTCTCACCACTGGGTTTTCCTGGGCAATGGGCAGCCCTTGCGGGCCCAGAACGACCTCTCGCCGCAGCCGGAGAGCTTGGGCAACCCTCTGGAGAACGTCCAGACCTGCTGCCACGCCGACCACCACAGCAGCGGCTCCTCGCAGACCAGCGTGCAGAGCCAAGTGCACGGGCGGGGGGACGGCTCCTCGGGGGGCTCCACCAGGGACCAGAGCGAGGACCCGCTCAACTCGCCCACCTCCAAGCGGAAGCGGGTCAAGTTCACCACCTTCGCCACCATGCCCTCCGAGGAGCTGGCGTACAACTCCATCCCCATCGCTGACGAGGAGGACTTGGAGTGGGTCTGCCAGGACATGGGTCTGCAGGGACCCGAGGAACTGCACAACTACATCCACAGGATCAAGGAGATTGCATAGCAGGCTTGGGCCCCACGCTTACCGGAGGCGGAGGGGGCTCCCTTTGGAGAATCGGAATGGATCGGCCGCATCGCCCTCCGGCGTTCGCCGGGCTCCCCTGCGGCCCTCCTCTAAGTGGACCAGCCCGCCGCTGGCCCTGCTATGTTCAGAGAGAGATGGAGGGCAACCCCTTAGGAGGGCGATGGATCCTTTTGCTCAGAGGGGGAGCCGGATGTGCGGAAAGCCGCTTCTGCCGCAACTGTGGAAGTGCCAGGCGACGCGCTGGGATTGGGTGGGGGAGACTGGGCCAGCTGCGGCCAGCTGGTGCTTCTGCCCAGAGCCAAGTATTTAAAGGGGGGTGGGGTGGGTGGTGCCGCCAAGCAGGCCGAGAGGAGTGGAGAGCTCAGGAGCCACCATATGGAATTGCCCCACAGAGGGGATAACTCCTTGCACCTGATTTCGGTTTGGCCGGGGGAGAGGAGAAGCTTGCTCCTGGCCTCCCCAAAACGACCACTGCTGCCTTTGCTGCCGCCCGTCTCTGAAAGGCAATCCTCCCCTCGGCTTTTCTTCTTCATTTTTTTTTTTTTTGCACAATAAATGTTGACTGTTTTTTTTATATATATATAAAATAAAATAAAAAAGATAATATTCAGGGATTCTGTCTGATCGGGTGGGACCCGTGTGGAGCGGTGCTTCCTGCCCAAGCCGTAATCTGATTCCTGCATTGTCCTGCCCATGCACCTGGTCCCGATTCTTCCCAGGCTGGGTTTGTTTACCTGAGACGCAATCTGGTTTTCCCAGTGAGGGGGTGGGTGCGTTGTGGAACAAAGTTGGAAGCCAGGAGCCTCGCAGGCATGCACATCCTTACACCAAATATCAGAGGAATAAGTCCCAGGAAGAGACTGTCAGCCTCCCAGTATTTACTTGCTTGGTGGGCCTTGCAGCCCCACCAGCAGCCACAATGGTGGTTGCAGCGTTCCTTCCCTTCTGCTCAGCAGTGCTTCTAGTCCCTAGTGAGGCAGTGCAACCCACCTTCCAGAGAGGGGGGTGGTGGACATGCTCTCCCTTTCCTGTAAACTCTCTTCCATTCCTCTTCTGGGAAGAGAGCTCCTCTGTGAGCCCCAAGGAAGGAGGGCTTGCACAAGGGGAGGCAGGCTAGGAGGCAAGGCTTAAACAGGGCATCGGGATGGCCGTGGCTGTTCTGTTTGGGGCAAGGGCCGTAGCTCAGTGACAGGGCATCTCTTTGCACGCATAAAGTCCCATGTTTCATCCCCAACAGGATCTTCAGGTCGGGCTGGGAATCTCCCCTGCCTGATACCCTGGGAAGCAGCTACCAGTTAGTGTAGACAATACTGAGCTACATGGACCAGTGTTATAGGGCAGGTTCCTATGGTCCAGTGGGTCAGTGTGGGAGGAGGGCTGGATTTCACATTTTTGTTGAAAAACCAAGCTCCTCTTGGATGCAGGATTCTCATTTCCCCCTTCATGGGTCTCTCTTTATTTCTCCTTGGGTTGATCTGCTCCTTCTTTTCCTTGGTTTGGGGTGGGGGTGGGGAGGCAGGGGTGTTGGTCCCCGCAGGTGAAAACATTCATTTGGACGAGACTCAAAAAGGATTTGGAACTCAAGAGTTGCTGATGGGGTGGCGCCTTTCGATGAAATCTGAGAGTCTGTGGCAGCGCACATCACAAGGCTGATTGACCCTCCGAGACTCAGAGCGGGTTTAGGCACTAGGGGGATATCTTGTTCAGAGTGGACCTTGGATAACTGCCCTTCCATGTCAGTCATCCCCAAAGGTCCCCTTTCCTTTGGATCAGAACCAGTCTACCCTTGCAGGAGAATCACATGGTATGGTTCCTAGGTGGACCCAGGTTGCAAGGGGTGGGGGTGGAATCTCAGAATGAAAAAAGCACATGACCCCCCCCCCCAATTGGGACTTCGTTGCCGTCACATGTTTGAAAGAAAAACTGGGAACTGAAGCCCAATGATGGACTATAGCCAATGGTGGCAGTCCATGGAGTAGAACTCTATGATGTCACTTGTCCTGGACTGTACCACTGAAGGGGGAGGGAAGGGGAGTCTCATGGCCTTGGATGTGTCTCCCCCCCCCGCACAGCCCCCACCCAGCCTCTCAATTAAAACAATGTAAAATAAATATATTAAAATTCAGCTAGTAAAAAGAGCACAGCATAATTAAAAGCCCCCTTCTTTTAAAAAAGAGCTCCCAAAGGCCTGTTGGAAGGACTGCAAGGAGCATAGAAGCCAACTCTTAGAGGCCAAGGTCCCTTTGGGCCCCTAATAAAATATTTGAGGGGGCTGCCCCCCAAGTTGATAGGGATTGCCATTCAAATAGTGTGGGAGTCCCCCGTCATGTGATTGATTATGTGGGACAGGGCTTACCTGCCCCCCCCCAATATTTTATTCAAGTTGGCACCCCTGGCAAGGAGGGAACCAGTCTGGCTTGTCTAGGGAGGGAGTTGCAAAGTCTGGGAGCAGCCACCGAGAAGGCCCTGCCCCACACCAAGCATGCCTGTGAGGGGGATAGGACTGAGAGAAGGGCCTCCCTCGAAGATCCCAGAGCCCAGGCAGGTTTGTAGGGGAGAATATGGTCTTTCAGCTAGCCTGGGCCTAAGCCACATAGGGCCTTCTAGGTTAGGCATAGAGGCAGGGACTGGCCCAAGGTCACCCAGTGAGCGTCATTCAAGCCATTGTTCCCCAGGCCCTAGCCTGATGCTCTAACCACTGGCTCTCTTAAGATGAAGCTCCGGCCTAAGTTTGCACGTGATGAAATATCAAGGAACTGTGCATTGTTCTTCCGCTCTGTCAATTAATCCCCACAACAACCCTGTGAGGTAGGTTAGGCCGAGAGGCAGCAACAGGCCCAGAGCCATCTAGTGAGCTTCATGGCTGAGTGGGGATTCGAACCCTGGTGTCTCGGAGGCCTTAGTCCAGCATTCTACCCGCTAGACCGAATTGGCTTTCTAGAGATGCCTGCAGGTTAGCAGCAGGGATGCCAGCCGTTAACTCTGCTCCACAGCGTGGGTCCAGCGGCGCAGAATGCCTGACTTCCAGCTGAAGTCGGCCAGGCAGTTTTGAAGTGCAGGGGGGAACCAGCAGCCTTCTCTGGATGGTCTCGGTGATTGTATTAAACAGTTTGAGCTCTGTAAATCCCACTGTGTGGAATGAGATAATGGAGCTCGCCTATCACATTTCTTCCTGTTCACTGAATGTGGTCTAAGGCTGTAGTTTTCCTCCAGAAAGTGTGAGGAACAGCAAAGTGTTCTGAAATCCCCATTGTTGGTCTGCTGCCGCTGAATATTCAGCCAACAGTTGAATTGCAGCAGTTCTCCAGGGCAAGAAAGACAGGTATCGCATTGCCCAAAGTCCAGTTTATTGAGAGCCAGTTGCGAGAGTGTCAGACTAGCAGCTGGAAGTAGACCAAGGTTCGAATCCCCCCTAGTTGACCTTGGGAGACAGTCACTGCCTCTAAGCCTTGCCTACCTCACAAGGTTGTTGTGGGGATTAATTTCAGGAGAGGTAGAACCATGTACCCCACATTGAGCTCCTTGGAGAAAAAGGTGGGATAAATATGGGGTTTTCAGTTGTATAGAGAACAAACAGAAATTTTAAAGTCAACATAAAACACCTCCCCCCGGGTGCCAACTTGAATATAAAACTGGGGGGTAGGTAAGCCCTGCTCCACATAATCGATCACATGACATGGTGCGCACACACCATTTGAATGGTAATGCCCATCTGCTTAGGGGGTGGTGGCCCGCTCAATATTTTATTGAGGGGGCCAAAGACCCCTCAGCACCTAGGAGTTGGCTCCTATGCCCCCCTCCCCATGACAAAACAGGAGAGCAGCATATATAAGGAAAGAATACATCAATGAGAATCAAAAGCAGGTGTAAATTCAAGAATAGGAACTGGACCCTGGCAGAAGATCAGGAGAACATCAGGCATGCCTCAATTGTCCTGGCAGTTTCTGACAGATGTTCTTATCTGTGTGATTCAGAGGTACAGAAGATAAAATCCAACCGTAGCACACCAGAAAACACTGGCTGTTCTTTTCCCTGCAGGAAATGTAGGTTGTGGGCAATTTTCTTCTAAAATTGCAAGGTTACAAATGTTTTTTTATGCCATGCTTGTGAGGCTAGATAAATGAATAATAATGAATAGATAATTTGGATTCCCCACATAAATGCTAGCCAAGCGGAGTACCTGAAATCTGGGCAGTCCCCAGAACTGCAAACTTTGGGTGCATGGACATCCAATTAAGCCGAGTGTTGGAAAATTCAGGACAGATAAAAGAATGCCCTCGTTCATGCAGCACGTAGTGAAACTATGGAACTCTCTCCCACAGGAGCCAGAGATGGCCACCAACTTGGATGGTTTTCAAAGAGGATTGGACAAATTCATGGAGGAGAGAGCTATCAATGATTACTAATTACAATGGTTATGCTTTGCTTCCACTGGTGCCATCTATAGGGGGATGGTGGGGCCACACCCAATATTTCCAAGGTGGGTCCTGGGCCTCCTAAAAATCCACTGCAACCCTCGAAAGGACGCATCAGCAGAGAGCATGTTTGCATTGGTGCCTCCTCCACCAGGGATGCAGCAAAGGTAAGGTGGCTCGCAGTGGGCAGGTGGTGGGACAAGTCAGCCTGGCTGGATTTTGGGCAGTGGCGCACGTGTGACATCACACACACGCATCGGGCCCCCACAATGTTGGGAGCAACTTGGCGTGCCTGTCTGCCTTCATAGTTGGAGGCAGTGATGCTTTAGAGTATCAATTGCTGGAAACCTTTGGTCTGCTTGCAGGTTTCCCAGATGGGACATCTGGTTGTCCTCTGTGAGAACAGCATGCTGGACTAGATGGGCCATTGATTCTGATCCAGCAGGCCCTTCTCATGCAAGGATAGATCAATAAATAGATTGGATTTCCCACAGGCGTGCAAGCCAAGCAGTGCACCCTGGAATCTGGCCAGTTCCCAGATCTGAGAGCCATCTGGAGATTTGGCTGCTTGCAAAAGGAATGCATCCCCCCCCCCAAAAAAAAAAATTCTCTTGGACAGGTTTAATGCGGAAAAGTGACCAAATCCCGTGAGGTTTCCCCCAATCTCACAGCTTCTGCTTCCTGTAACTTCTGGAAACGACTGGCGTTTCCACAGCACTGCCTGGAGATTTCCCCCGGGTGCCTGATTTCTAATGTGTGGAATATATCTTTATTTTAGAACTCGGTTTTGAAATAGGCCTCAATGTTTCGAGACGGCCGTGCGCATCACTTAAAAGTCTCCCCCGGTTTCCCTCCCGGTGCACGATTGCTGTAATTACATTTGTCTTCCCAAGGCATGGGGGCTGGGGGGGACAATCTGGCTCAGATCGACACCAGAATGGCTTCAGATTCCATGCCTGCTGCGAAAACATGCCACCTTCGCTGCCGGATAATTGAAAGAGCCGCTGGCCTGACAAAAGTATAGTGTCCAGATCAAGGGAAGTAATAGTACCACTCTATTCTGCCTTAGTCAGGCCACACTTGGAATACTGTGTCCAATTCTGGGCACCGCAATTTAAGAAGGATGTTGACAAGCTGGAAGGTGTGCAGAGGAGAGCGACCAAGATGATCAA